TTAGTTAAAATCTCCCGGAATCTAGAGCAAGAGCGTGCATGCGAGACAGATCAGATTGTGCTCTAAACCGTATAGTGCGCACGAGGGAGAGAGCGAGAGACTTTGTGTGGTCTGGTTATTAACTTTTATGTCGGAACTGAAAAGGTTTCTGCCGGTGAAATCAAACGCACTGGCAGTGATCTGTGATTGGTCTGTTAGTGCATTAGGCCCAACCCCCTATGGGTGGGTTTGAAAGGTGGGAACTAGTGCTTGTAGTCTTTACAGAAATCCTCCCTCTTACACTTCCTCCTACAATGACGTAAAATGACGATTTTTGAGTCTTTGTAGAAGGAAGTGAAAAAGGTAAATAGCGTATTTCTCTCGTCTCAGGGGAAAATGAGTATTTTTTGTATTGTACTGTTGCACGGCCATTCAATAGTATAACTGGATTTTTAACAATGGAAATCTTAATACAAATGGGTGGAGTGTCCCTTTAAATAATCTGATTCGGGTTTTCACTCTTCCTCTGAGACCCTCCACCTCCCCCAGCTCCACTTGCCTAGATCTGCTAAGCGATTTAAGTATGTCTATTCATACAGCAGCAGCGTATAGCAGCATGTGTAGCGGATATAGTCCACCAGACCAAACACATTAGCATTGTCATATCCATTCACTTTTTCCCTGCCACTGACACACTACAACTACTAAACTGAAAGCTGCTGAGCAAATACAGATGGCAGAGCACTGAATAATATTACATAAAAAAGGTTAACATATTCAAAACTCGACTCATCAATATCCGTGAAATAAACACGTTTTATAACACATAACACACACTTATTGCGACTTACTGTGGTCAGTTAGAACAGGCTGAACAGTAACTGACAAACAATAACAATACAGTGAAATAATCAGCTAACTAGCACTCTAAACGTGAAAAAAAAAAACGTCTGGCGATGCTCTTCTGAAATAGTACAGCATCTCTGGATCCACAAACAAGCGAAGAAGAAGATCTGCATTAACCAGAAGGGGCAGACACGACTTGTTTATGCACAAGTAAGCTAACCTGATCAGCACACATTTAACGGCATTAAATCAAAACCGCCTAATGTTACTGAATGAAATAGCGAACGCACAAAGAGGTACACGACTGTGCAAGCTTTGGGGGTGTTGATGGACTCATTCTACAAGACAGAATTACTTTTTTTAACTTTATTCTAAATCTGACCCAGATTAAGTCTATGACAAAACGTGTATTCACACAATTCAACAGTTTGCAGTTTGAACTGAAATTGTCTTTTGGACCTTGAGCCGTTTGGTTACCAGTAAAATCCATTATATGGAGAAAGATCCTGGAATGTTTTCATCAAAAACCTTAAAGGGTAACTAAACCCCTGGTCAGAGCCTGACTCCACCCACTGGCAATATTTGAAAATGCTGAAAAAGTGGGCAGACCCCGGCGGAGATAGAGGAGACGAAATAGATGCTAAAACACAATATCCTGATCGTTTTCAATACTCACAATTCCAACTCCTGACTCGCTACAGTGGTTTTGACGAAACAAGCTGTTTTTTTTATTGCCAAGGGCGTAGCTCGCGTGGTGAGCTGAAACCTGCGTACCACGAACTGCGGAACGTCCAATAGGAAAATTCAACTGCAGTAGCCACCGTTCAACCTGAAGAGGGCAGCACTAAGACGCTTTTACACCATATATTGTAGAATTAGAACACTTTATAAACAAATGTCAAAAAAGTTACTCGAATCAATGACTGGTATTAATAAAGATCCATTCTTACAGATCATTAACTAAAAAAAGTTGGTTAAGTGTTTAGTTACTCTTTAATTTCTTTTCGACTGAAGAAAGAAAGACATGGACATCTTGGATGACATGGGGGTGAGTAAATTATCAGCAAAAGTTTTTTCAAAAGTGAACTACTCTTTTCGTTCAAAGTGTCAGCCCATTGTGATTTTCCCACTGGTTCCTTAGGGATATTCAAGGACTGGTAAATAAAAAAAGAAAGAAATAACACAAATTGACAAGACAATGCAGAAAGACTTCAAAATATCCCAGAAGCAGCTATATTAATGGGAGAAACCTGCAACAAAACATGCTTCTATTGTGAGAATACAAAGCAGTCTCTATAAAGGATTGTTATTCTATTGCTGCACATAGGACATGCTGCACTCCTTCATGCATTGCTAATGTAATGCCTGTAGTGCTCCATTTCCAAACATGCCTGATGCCTTATGCTGTCTTTTGCATATACACACACAAGGACCAATCTCAACCTGCACCTCACAGTTCATGTCTTCTCCAGTGAGTGCACACATGCTTTCAGCAGTCCCTCATCTTTACTTGCAACACAGTATCTCAAATGCCAATACAATAATATATAATTATAGGGGAAGTGCATTTCAGAAGCACTTGTCTTCACAAAGTACCCAATAAAAAGCTGCCTTAAGTTGGATCTCAGAGCTATCTCGCTTGGTCTATCGCATCTCGTTTTGCCTTTATCCGCTTGAATGCTGGAGTGCCTGCTTGACGAGGCATCGCGAACGAACGGAGGATTTAGAAGATGAGAGATTCAGTGTGTGTGTGTGTGTGGAGAGGGGATTAATATTCTGAATTGTGGAAGCAGATGGGATTTCCCCCCCCACTATTGTCTGCCCTAGACCTCTCAACGTAACACGATCGTGTAATTGAAACCACATCCATTGTTGCATGCAGAAAAGTGAGAAGCTGCGGTGCAATACATAGTGTTCCACTGCCTTCTGCACTTTGCATTACAACATTTCTACACGCCGAAGCAACTAATGAAAAATGAGTTAAATCAACTCAAAACAAGATCTTACCAAGGTGCAACAGATCACATTCAGTTGATAATGCAGTACTTTGGCTGTTCTAGCCCATAATAACATTATAATGGAAGTGTACAAGCCCTGTGCAGTCAATCAACACCTTTGACTTGCTCTGCTGAGAGTATCGATTTATGTTCTGTGGTAAAGAGACCCTTTAAGACGATCATAAACATGCTTGAAAAAGCTCCGCAAGGCCAACTGTGACGAGTGGGGTAATGAGAAGGAATATGCATGTGGCTGCAAACACATATTAATACGTGTGTATCCCACAGCCCACTGGATTTATTAGCATGTAATAGGTCAGGCAACCTATGTTTAGCGGCCCTGCCCATCAAGACGAATCTGTCTCACTGTGATCAATGAACACGTCTTAAAAGGAACAGTTCACCCAAATTCATAATTTATTTGCATGACATTCTTGCATGTGGAAGACAAAAGAAGAGATGAGTCCAGATGACATTGGACCACACTGAATTTGAATGACGCGCCCCCTCCTTTAAATCTTGAACTGTCCCTTTAAATGTTATTAAAAACAAGACATGCCATTCCCTTTTAGTTTAGTTTACTGCTCTCTCACACTCAGTGGCACACATATTCAAAACTGGCCCATGCACTGCAGGGAGCTGATATTCACCGATGTGGATCATTTTTAGATTTTGAAGAATCCAAACTCATGACACTAGCAAAAATACTGCAAAGCATTGACAAAAAAAAAGGATATATTCTCTGTCACCAACACATATAACACTACTTTATAACAACTTACATTTTTACATACACTCTTAGAAAATAAAGTACCTTTAGGGCTTGTCACTGGGGCTGCACCCTCAAGGGGACAGATTTTGTTCCCAAAATCTAATGTTAACAGTTTAAGAGCCAACAGCCCAACTAAACCAAACACTGATCACCATAATGGTGTCTTAAAAAATTGATTTTCTCCTTCAGTGATTCTGCTTGCATGTTAACATCAGGTGTCTTCAATAATGGTCAATCATCACTCAATGAGCTCATTAAAGCTCATTAACTTTAACACTCTTGAATAATAATTTAATAACACTCATATTTTACCATTTTAACACTTGAGTTTGGAGCCATATTTAACACTGGAATGTTTTTCTGTGTATATACAATCAAGAGACAGACTTTGCTAAGGCATTTTTTTTCCGCAAAAGTTGTTATTTAAAGGTTTTAATGATACCTTAAGGTTGATTTTAAAGTATCACTATATTTGAGTAGCCTTGAAATAAAAGTTTTGGCACAAGGGTACAAATATGTACAAATATAATACCCTTGAGGGTACAGCCTCAGTGACAAGCCATTGTAAATATACAATTATGTACTTTATTTTCCGAGAGTGTATGCAGGCTTTTCAAATCAGCAACAAAATGTCGTTAAACTACGGGCCGATATTCATATCTGATTTTTGTAACATGAGGGTGAATTGTAACACCAGCTTAACCAGTTAGAAATTAGTTAAAGGGGTAAAATCACTATATATTAACCCTCTTCATTAAAGTGACAAAAAGAATTGGGTTTATAGGCTCAATTTTAAACAACTAAATTTAATTGTCCCAATAAATCCATGTACAAACTGTTAAAAATATTTGTTTTACATTGGTGTTACCAGTTACAAGTTTAATTTGTGGCAGACAAATATGCAAATATTTTATTAAGGGTTGCACCGATATGAACATTTTGAATGATATCCAATAATTCTTTATGTTTGAAAGTCGATGACCGATATATTGGCTAATAAATCTAAATCCAAATTTTAACCTACTTGCTATGTTGCACTTAACTGTATTTTGCTTTTTGAAGTGATCCCAATCATATTTCAAGCAATTCAAAAACATCATGGCGAACAGTGCACATGTGAAGTGTCACATCTGAATGAAATATAATCCATTATCTGCTTTAATACACCAGCCAAATTTTCCTATCTATCAGGCTCATAAAAATAATATTAAAAATGAACATCAGTCAATACCGATGGTGGCCGATATGTGTTTTATTAAAGTTTGAATGTATTGAGTTAGAGATGTTAAAACAAGTGTTACACACCGCTCCAGAACTTCTGGTTTTTTTACTGGTGCTGAAAGTTATTTTAAAGTGTCACCAAATGAACTTTTATTTCTTGTTCGCTTTTATTAGGAGCTACTCACCGACTGTTCAATGCCGCATCTTTCTTTTGCTTTTTATTCATCACAGCAGGAACACAGGTCGTGAGCTCGGTCCAGTCCGCGTGCAAACCGCAACTCCAGCCCGTGGAGAAGCGCGAGAAGAGCCACGACTCCGCTTTCCCGGGACGGTGGCACGTGCATTTCTTCTGGCCGGCGCGGCAGTCGCACGGCCGTTCCAGGTGGATGTTCCGCACCAGGTGTCTCCCGAACGTCGTTCCTCCGGTCTTTTGGATGTGGAGGAACACGATCACGTCGTTTCCCTTAATGTCGAAATTCACGTGGCGTTCGATGTCTTCGCGCGTGAAGTTAAATTTGGACTGGAATCTAAACGAACCGTCCTCGTCCGGATCCGGAGGCTCTCGGGGATATTTGGAGAACTGAACACTCTCTCCATTCCCAAACCGACAGGACGTGCTCCCAGCTGGACAGATGTACTGATAGCCGATCATGACAAACAAAACGGTCAAAACAGGAACTAAAAGGAGTTTGTTGGATTTATCATCCATTGCAGTGACAATGAACCGGAGGATCACGCTCACGCCATTGGTGATGCCGTCGCCGCTGAATGAGTCCTTCAGGTGCTTTATACGGGTGATGCTCTCAGGCAAAGTCTGAGCCGGCACAGAAAGAACACAGCGCCTTTAGTTAGATCATAGTTACATAAAGGTCAGTTCGACTGGAAAAATTGTTGACAAAAAGGAATAACAAGCCTTGCGTTTCCTCATACTAAACTTGGAAATGTCGCTTTGCTAGCAGCTTCATAAACTACCTGATTTAACAAATAGTGCAGGACTTTGAAAACCCATTTGCAGTGCCGATTTTCTTAATGTTTGACGTCAATTGTGTCCGTCCTCGTCCCATATAGATTATAACGTAGGCTTGGCAGGGGAGATCCGGACTCCTCGTAAAACACATGCAGATTTCTGTTCCGTCGCTCTGAGCGTCAGCGCTGAATTATTGCACCGCTTTGATGCGGGTTTCTCTGAGATGCGCTTTAGGAAGTTGAGTTCCTGTTGCAACTTGCTCAGGGAGGGAGAGGGAGAGAGAGAGAGAGAGAGAGAGAGAGAGAGAGAGAAAGAGAGAGAGAGAGAGAGAGAGAGAGAGAGAGAGGGAGAGAGAGAGAGAGTCAGTGGGTGTATTGGATGAGCGCCTCATATTGGGTCTATCTGACTGAGCTTTCATTCAAAAGCAACTAAAATTGGGCAAATGTAGAAATAGTAGCCCTAGTAAAGGGAGTCAGGCTTCATTCCCATTTTATCCATATGAGTTTGATTAAATTGTTAAAAGTAATTAGCCTACTAAGAGCTTTTGGAAGCAAATAAAGTTGCTTGGGTTCATGTCACGTCGAGGGGATGTGGCAGTGCTCAATTCACAACCACTAAAATGGACCAGGTAAATGACAGAGATCTAGAGGTCAAGCCTTAATGTAATGTCATAAAGTAAAAGATCATTTAATGTTATAAAAGGAAGGATGATTAAGACAATAAGCAAGATGTTTTTAAATCAGAGAAGGGAGAAGTGAGGGGGCTATAGGAAATGTTTCATAATAATGAATATTTTTTTTAATTTAAAGGGGTGGTTGATTATGATTTTAAGTATGAAGTATTTGTTTGAGTATAAACAACATCTGCAAAGTTACAATGCTCAAAGTTCAAAGCAAAGGGAGATATTTTTATTAAAGGGGTCATGAACTGGCTTTTTAAATTTTATTATATTGTTGTCTGAGGTCAACTTATGACGTTTGCTTGGTTTTTACATTCAAAAACATCAAAATGAATAAGTAATAGGCTATTAGTTTTGTGTCTCACACTGAAGACTTGGAAGTAAACGCCCACTGCTGTGAGTGGATAACAGTTTTGCATATTATAATGAGTTTCAACTCTCCCGTCGATGTACTTGGGGGAAATTGTTTTGAAAACGTCCAATGTTGTGAAATGGCAACCGGAATGATTCACCCATACATGTTCGAGTCCGTGTGTTGCACAATTCCTGTCAGATCAACATAGACGGCACAGCACCGTTCTTTACTCTTAATCGGTCTGCAAATCCAGTCTTGTTTACAAAACAATCCTCAGTGAAATGAAGCGAACAGACAGACAATGTTTTACCTCATCAGCTGGAACATCATTAAAAATAAAGTTTATCCATGCAGTCCTACTGGAATCCAGAGGAAGCTTATGCAGCGACTGTCGTCTTCCACAACCAGGCACTGCACAATATTTTGTATTGCTCGGTACACTCTAAAAAATGCTGGGTTGTTTTAACCCAATTTTGGGTCAAATATGGACAAACCCGAAATGTTGAACCCGAAACATTTTTTAGAGTGTAGCTCGATTCGGTTAGTCATCACGAAGTAGGAATCTATGTTATTTCACTATGCGTGTAATGCGCAAATCGGTGGGCGGGGCTAAACCAGTCGTGTCGAAGTAGGCCTCTCTCTGTTGTTTAAGAGGAAAAAAAAAGTTTCCCGCTTTGTGTCCTAACTTATTACTTATTGCCTGAAAAAAAATCCAGGGTTTGGCCAGAATAGAGCTTTTTAGTGTGAAATGAAATTTCTTCATTTTTGCTTTTGACTACGAGACACTGTAAGCTTTCCATCAAAGTATAATGTCATGTTTTGTGGCGTTTGGATCCTAATTGAAAGAGCAAGGAAATACTACTAAACCTGTTACAATACTCCGAGGTCTCCCTTCCCCTAAATAAGCTCATAGCTTGAGCTGTGGTGCAGAAGGTAGTGTCTTAAAGTCCCCACCGGAAGTTGCAAACGATTTTTCTCCAGTGCTGTGACGTATTTCCAAATGAAACGGAATATTGAACAAAGGGCAGGGTTTTACTCTAGCGCTCCTCCTCTCCATCTCTCGCTCATAGCAAACAAACGGTTTGAGGGGAGTGGTTAAGCGTTTCCCCACCCAAACTGTGAAACCTACGTCATCAGAAAAAGAAACCGTTCCAGACCGGAAGTAACTTTTCAGATTTTGATTAAAGATTACTAAGGTAAAACATTTTTTTAATATATATTCACTTGCACGGATTAATTGTTCACCACAAGACTAGTAAAAAGCACTAACAAATTAAATAGGTTCAATTTTGATTTCACAGGGACTTTAAAGCACGGTTGGGGCTTGTGGAGCCTGTGGTCGCGCTCGGTCTGGGTTATGTCCCACTTCTGTTCTCCCTGTTCGCTTCTCCACTGATCTACCAAATAAGGTGAAAAGATAATGAACAAAGTAAAAACAAAAAACAAAACAGTATTTCAAAAAACATTCAGGCATAATAATATTGACCAACTACAATCCATAAGCATTGGATGTTAAAGTAAAGTAACCAAGATACGCGCAAATGTGCAAATAATAACTTAGAAGTTCATAATCCTTGATATCAATAATGAAAGATATGATATCTCACCTGCTTCAATTAAAGTGCCTCTATTATGTTTTTTTTTTATATTACCTTTCATGCGGTGTATAATTGCTCTTTGTGAATGTAAATGGTCTGCTAAGTTTTAATGATCAATGATCAAGTCCACAACAAATAAAGTTATTGTCTCCTAAAAGAAAGAATCGACTCTAAACTGCCCAAACGAGTCATCAGTAATTCCAAGCTCACTTCCTGTTACATACCTACTTAAAAATGTAACAAATTTGCATAATGCTTCTTCATTAGCTACCTGCAAAGACCCTCGAACACTAGTTGTAGCTTAAGCTTGGAGAGTTTGGTTCGTGTTGTCGACATGTCGAGAAGACGCTGTTTTCTGCATACACTTTGGACTTGAATTGATATGGTAAAACCGTCACGGACAAGATGCACTGTTTGAAAACTAAAAAGATTGTCAGTATATGATTTTTGGCCTTGATTTGCCTAATGACGCAATCTATACATTCACACAACATATTTATTTTTTGAAAATAATTAACAACAACAACGAAAAAAAAAAGCATCTGTATAAAATGTAGCTTTTTTTTCTGGTTACCAACCTGGGAGCATTTCAGCACCACGGACAGCTCACATTAATAGAGGAAGATTCTTTCTCATGCCATTAAATCAATATATTGTACTTATCAAGATCTATAATTAAACTGAGTATTGTAGATAATCATTTGAAAGATCTAACTGTCAGAGATCATAAGACAATAAAAAAATCATTAGGCTTTGGTTGAGCTTGCTATCGTTGTGTAGAGTCTGTGGAGGTGGAAAAACATTCTCGTTCCTCAAACCATTTAAATGGAAGAATAGGGTTGTTTTTCTCCCGACAGACTTAACATAATAGCATCAATAATAACTTTATAATAACACACCTCAAAATCATCCCCACCCCAATACAAAAGCTAAAATGCAACCTTTGATAAGGCTGATGAATTGGATCACAGATTCTGTTAACATTTAATTTGTGAAAAATTGGATATGCAAAATGTTTTATTCCAATACACTTTTATTCATTTATAAGAGACAAGTGCAGATAATTTCTCCCAGGATAATTAGAGACGCATCCAGCTTTGACAAGTTTAAGATTATTAGAGAGGATATGACTCTGTGTAGATTCAAGGAAGCGACTATCTTTGCAAAGGTAGACATCTCTTGTACATTGAGTCTGTAATTTATCTTTCTGTTGAGTGCATTTACATACATTAGTCATCAAGCTCCACGGGAGCCTTGACAACAAGATAGGGAACATTTATCTGTTTTTTGAAGACAGACACAGTTTGGTGGCTATTAATGTTTAGCTGCCTTAAGAGTCAAAGTTTTCTTATGTTAAAGTGTTGTTTGAAAGGAAATAAATAAAATAAATCATATCTTAAAAAAACAATCTTAATTTATTTCAGCTATGGTTGCCAAGGCAACATTCAATTTCTGTATTGAAATAGCTAAAACTGTGTGTGTGTTAGTGCACAACGATGTACTAAAAATGGAAAAGGTTTTCCATTGTATTTTTCACGTACATACGACAACATTTTTAAAATGATCACTGTTCACACGGATCCGCAAAAAAATGACTAAAACCGCTGTATTCTGATGGCAGGCCAATGTTGGCGATGTCACTTTGTAAAGAAAAGGTTGAACACGTAATACGCGTCTGCACGATGTCAGCATTTTCACAAATTACCGTTTTTGTGATCCTGATAATGGTATTACTTTCAAAAACTTGCACTTTAAAAACCCGTTTCAAAAGTTTGCATTTTCAGGCCCCTAAATGATTGAAATGATTGTCCAAATGTTTTCCATTTTTAGTTGGAAACTGTGTCTTGTAAACGATCTCTTACACCAGACGTGACAACTTGTCTATATAAACTACACTCACCTAAAGGATTATTAGCAATACCTGTTCAATTTCTCATTAATGCAATTATCTAATCAACCAATCAAAATGCATTTAGGGGTGTGGTCCTGGTCAAGACAATCTCCTGAACTCCAAACTGAATGTCAGAATGGGAAAGAAAGGTGATCTAAGCAATTTTGAGCGTGGCATGGTTGTTGGTGCCAGACGGGCAGGTCTGAGTATTTCACAATCTGCTCAGTTACTGGGATTTTCAAGCACAACCAATTTTCTAGGTTTTACAAAGAATGATGTGAAAAGGGAAAAACATCCAGTATGGGGCAGTCCTGTGGGTGAAAATGCCTTGTTGATGCGAGAGGTCAGAGGAGAATGGGCCGACTGATTCAAGCTGATAGAAGAGCAACTTTGACTGAAATAACCACTCGTTACAACCGAGGTATGCAGCAAAGCATTTGTGAAGCCACAACACACACAACCTTGAGGCGGATGGGCTACAACAGCAGAAGACCCCACCGGGTACCACTTATCTCCACTACAAATAGGAAAAAGAGGCTACAATTTGCAAGAGCTCACCAAAATTGGACAATTGAAGACTGGAAAAATGTTGCCTGGTCTGATGTGTCTCGATTTCTGTTGAGACATTCAGATGGTAGAGTCAGAATTTGGCGTAAACAGAATGAGAACATGGATCCATCATGCCTTGTTAGCACTATGCAGGCTGGTGGAACGGTGTGGGGGATGTTTTCTTGGCCCACTTTGGGCCCCTTAGTGCCA